TACATAAATATAAATTCTGTCTAGAAGCTGACACCTCCCAAATTTCTCTCACTAATCCTAGCTTCTTCCCATATATTCTACTCAATATCTCCACGTGGATGTCTAATAGGCAATTCAAACTTAATACATCCAAACTTAACATGTTTGGTTTTCCTCTTAAAATCCATGTGTTCCTTGGTCTTTTAATCAGGAAATAACTTCCACTTAGTTGCTCACAGCAGAAACCTAGGAGTCATATTTTTCTTTTCTTCATTCCTAACAGAAGTGTGTATCTCCAAAATAACTTGCTCGCCACCATCAATTCTCTCCTAAAATACAGGTAGTCACGCATTTCATTTCTCTGGTTCCATTCTTCCTCTTTTAAAATTCCTTATCCACAGAACAGCCACAGTAGAATCATAAATTGTGTCATGTCCCTCTCCTGTTTCAAACTCCTCTGATAGCTCCCATCACACTCAGTCTAACCTCCTTTCCATAATTTACAAGGTCCTACGTAATCTGGCCCCTCATACCTTTCTAACCATTTCAAACCATCTCCCATTCTCAGAGTATATTTTAGTTCTTCTGACCTCCTTTCTCCTCTTCAAACAGGCCAAAACCATTTCTCTCTTAGAGCCTTTGTACTTTTTCTTCTGTTTGCCAGAATATTCTTCACCACCTTCTTCCTATGGCTGGTTCCTTTTCATTCTTCACATCTTCGCTAAAATCACACATCTTTGGATAGGCCTTCCCTGACCACCCTATCTAAATTTGGTCTCCATCAGTTGCTTGCTATCCATGCTGTCTTTCATGGCTCCTAGCACAACTTGCAAACATCTTGTTTATTTTGTCTCTTCCCACAAAAAACAAAATTTCTAAGAATAAGGACTCTCTTGTTCAATACCATATTCCCGGTGCCTAGAGTAGAGTCTGAGATGTTGGAGGGACTCAAGAAATGTTTGTTGAATAAATCACCATTTATGTTTTCTGGTGCTTCAGAATGCTGCCATTTCCTTATTATATAGCAATAAATGGTCAGCTGGTTTAAGAGTTTTTAAAAGCGGGGTAACTTGAGCCCATCTATCTAAATGTTTTTCAGGCAGGTCTACTTCATCATCTTGATTTTGAATGTCTTGTTCTGAGATGTTATCAATGAAATTATAATTTGTTTCATGATAATTCAGCATAATTGAGACTATTCTTATTAACATGGTGGTTGAGGAAGATTTTAGTTTTATTGCCACCTTTTCCTATATGTAGTAACCAGCAAATGCCTATCGTAAAGAATGCCTGTCTTTTATGCTATCAGGAGGGGAATATTTGAAGCAGGTGGACAGAAATCCATAGACTGTTGGAGTTTTGAGGAGACTGAATCTTCTACCCTTGAATGAGAGTGTAGGCTTTATGTCTAATCTTTGTAACCCAGTAGTTCCACATTGATATAACATAGCATGAATGAGTAGATAATTATTTTCTTTCTCACATTTCCTCTTTGCTGACTTGTTAAACTTACAAAGGCTGCCTGTAAGACACCTCAGCTTCTCTGTGATAGGACGTAGTACTAAGTAAAAGGAAAAATAAAAGATAATATTCACTGATACTAAAATTGAAATATTTAAAATTTAATCTGAATAATTATGTATAGTTGTGTCCTCTTTTATTACAAACTTGTATCATTTCAGCACTCTCTGATTCTGTGACTTTAGTATTACACTGCAATGTAGGAGAAATGTGATGAATGATTGGAAATAAATCTAATTTTTTTCTGTACCTTTCAAGTATAAGACTAAATAAGACTATAGAAATAAAACCATTAAATGGTTAGATAATACTGAAAGTGTCTCTTATGCAAGGAGTTATATTCTTTTCCCTTACTATTAATATCTATAATTACCCATGAAGCAATTTTTTCCCACAGTGAAAGCACACAAGGTTATTGTATTTGCAAAGTTCCTTCTGAGGGGACCTGGAACTACTCTTTTCTGTGTCAGTCATGGACAGCCATTAGTCCTTAATGTCTTTGGTCCTTTATAGACAGACTTTAGCCTGTTTCCACTTGTACTCATTTAGTTTAGTGTAAAAACAAAACTTCCCCAAATGATTGCACCATTAATTGACAGATAGGATCTATGCTTCTGTTTATTTTTTAAAAACTGCATTGACTTTTTTTTTTAATACAAAAATTTCATTCTACATTCAAATGTTTTGTGAGAAAAATATACACAGCTTATTTTACTCTGTTAGAAATCTTTCAGCATTTGATGCCAGAGGATTATCTGAAATGTCTAGGTGAAATAGTACTGCTGTTTTGATCCTGTATTGCCCAGTAGCTTCTGGACCTTGGGTAATATACAGAGAAACTGAATTATTTTCAACCTAAGCACCTCAAATGTTACCTCCTCAGACTCTGCTGACACCCTCATTTCATTGCTTAGTTCTTACCAACTTCACAACAGTAGTCACTATCTGAAATAACTTTAAATACTGTCTCCTCACCTAGAAATCTAGCTCTTTTTTACTTTAGATCCCCACTGCCTAGAACGTAAATTATTGTGGAATGAATATGTCAGTATCTTAGTCATAAATAAATAGTGCTTTAAAAAAGTCTTGGAACATTGAAACTCAGTATTTTGGTTGCTGACAAATTCTGAAAGAGATATAAATTCTGCCTATTACATTTTCTTTTCTAAATATCTTCAGACCCTTATTTAGAGCATAAACTCTAGCTGCAAATCAGTGGGAGTTGGTAGCCACTTAAAGAAAATAAAATTTGATTTGTATACCTAATTAAATGAATTCTCAAAAAATATTTTTTTGTTTTTTGAGATAGGGCCCCCCTCTGTTGCCCAGGCTGAAGTGCAAGTGGCACTCACTGCAGCGTTGACTTCCCACACTCAAGATACCCTCCTACCTCAGCCACCCGAGTAGCTGGTACCACAGGTGTGCGCCGTGACCACACCTGTCTAATTTTTGTTTGGTATTTTTTTTGAGACAGTGTTTCACTCTTATTGCCCAGGTTGGAGTGCAATGGCACGATCTTGGCTCACTGCAACCTCCACCTACTGGGTTCAAGCAATTCTCCTGCCCCAGCCTCCCAAGTAGTTGGGATTGCAGGCATGCGCCACCATACTGGCTAATTTTTTGGAGATGGGGTTTCACCATGTTGGTCAGGCTGGTTGGGAACTCCTGACCTCAGGTGATCCACTCGCCATGGCCTCCCAAAGTGCTGGGATTACAGGCGTGAGCCACAGCGCCCGGCCACACCTGGCTAATTAAAAAAATTTTTTTGTAGAGATGGGGTCTTACTGTTGACCAAGCTGGTCTGGAACTACTGAGCTCAAGCGATCTGCTTGCCTCTGCCTTGCAGTATTGGGATTACAGACGTGAGCTACCACGCCTGCCCAAAGTATTTTTATCCAGCCTTCCAACCATATACAAGTTATTTCCTAAATTTCTCTGAGGATTGCATCCCATTGTACAAGCTTCGTTATCCTGGAGGGGGAGTGAGTGAATGGATGGGGGTGCTGAAAATTTATAAGATTAGTTTGCTCCAAACTCTGGTATATTTTGGTTCCATGGGTTAAATAAGACTGTGAGGTCACATGTGAGCAACGTTTTTCTTTTTTTAGAAAGCGTTTCTTCCCTGTAACTTGGTTAAAATTCCACAGTTCCTCCCTTCTTCACACCTAACCATTAAGATAGATTAAAAATCTAAATAATTAGCGTAAAAGTTTAGATATCTGTACATACATGTCTTTAGGCTTCCTGACTTCGTTGGTTTCACCTGATTTTGTTGGTTACCAAGGAAACAGCCTAACTCCTGAGCCTCCAATCGCTAGCTCTTCCACGAGACTAATTCCTGATGTCAGGGTTTGAGGCACTAGTACAAACTCTGCCCGCAGTCCCTGCCCGAGGTCGTCTTTGCGGGGAGCCATGGCTGTGGCAGGGGTCCCGGCAGGTTCCTCCACCAGTCCCTGTGAGCCAGCCCCCGCGCTGTCCAGATCCCAGACCTCTCGCGGGCCGGAGCGGCCTTCTAAGGGCGGGCCTGGGGTCCTGGGCTCAAAGTCCAGCCTTGGCCGAGGCCCCACGGGTACGCTCGTGCGCCTTCCGTGCTCCAGGGGCCGCCAGACTCTACCCGGCGCGGAATGGAGGTGTGAAGCCGCAGAAGCTAAGGAGGGGCTGACAAGGGAGAATAGGTTGCCCATGGTTCCCTACGCAACTCTGTGGGTGCGGGGAGTCGAAGGCTTCTGCACTCCAAGGCTCCTGGCATCGTCCCCGCGCCACCCTGGCGCAGCCTCTGATGGTAGCCGACAGCCTCACAGAGGAGGATCGAGACTGAGCCTACTCCCCCTACACATCCCTAGCCACCTTCCAGTCTTGTCCTCTCGGCACACGCCCCGCCCCGTGAGCTGCCACGTGACGGGAAACGCCAGTGCGCCTAATGGAGGTAGCTCCACCCCACGCCCCCGCCTTGCCCCTGCTCCGCGCGCCGCCACGTGATGCGGCCCACCTCCAGCCAATGAGCGCCGGCCTTGCCTCGCGCCCCGCCCCGCGCGCCGTGGCCGTTTGAAGTGACTAATTTCTGTCATATGACTGAGGCGCCCATGGGGGTGGCGGGGCGGCTCTAGGAGCAGGGGCCTACCAAGCGCCCAGCGGAGCGACCCCTGCCTGGCCGTGGGGAGCATGGCCCCTACGCTGTTCCAGAAGCTCTTCAGCAAGAAGACCGGGCTGGGCGCGCCCGGCCGCGACGCCCGGGATCCAGATTGCGGGTTCAGGTAGGGCGCTGTGGGGCGGGGGTCGCGGAGCCGATGGCCTTGTGGACTCTGGACTCCAGGGGTGTTGGGGCCTTCGGTTTTCCGACCCAAGCGGAAGCGCCGCGCCGAGACCAGCATCTGGTCCTCGGTGGGGTGGAGCCGGCTGCTGGCTCGCGCTGAAGGGTTGGAGCGAGGTCCTACCTCTTCTCTTACCCCACCCGCCTCGCCGTTGCCCCTTCCCCCTTCTCCCGTCGGTTTGTTTACTACCTGACCCCAGCCACGCGCGACTCTGCTCCTCCGGATCTAGCACCGCGGCCTGAGACTTCGGGTCCACACGCCTTCCTGGCACCGAGTAGAGTTGGGCGCGGGCTGGATTGGACCTCAGCCGCCGTACTCCGGGCGGCGAAGTTCTCCCCTCCTCCCCGTGACCAGTTGTCCTCCGGGCGCTGCGTTCCAGCTCCGTTGGCGTTGTGGAGAGAGCGGCACGTTTGGCCAAGCTTCTGAGTTGAGAGAAGGCTGGAGGAGCAAGTAGGCAAGGTGCCGTTCTTTCAGGTTTCTTGGACGCTAAAATTGGAGGTGTGCGGTAACCGGACCGAGCGACCTTAATGTTATCGAAGGAGAAATGTGAAACTTGAGTTTAGAGTTACTACTGAAGCAAGACAACATTAAATGAAATCTGGCCTTGGAATTGGCCGTAGATTCTTCCTCTTTAGAACTGTTACTGAAAAGGAGTCTTAAAAATTGAAAATGTTAGCAGAGCATTTTGTGGTGGTACAGGCTTTGTTGATTTTTCGTTGTAGTACCTGTTGCTGGCAGAGTAGCTTTTCAGAATTGTAAGATTTGATATAAACCTGAATTCAAGGTGAAATTTAGTCGTTAAACCTGAGGAGATTATGTCCAAACAGCCTTTGTAAATATTGCAGTGTGGAAACTTGCAAATATAACTAGGCTAAATGTCAAATACCACACAAACTTGGTAGGATAGCAAAGAGCCCAGTTGTACAACAGTAGTAGAAACAACAAAAAAAGAGAGAATCTGTCAAATTTTGGAACAGGCAAAGTTGAAATGATTGTGCCACACTGGTTTAAGAAATTTTGCTATTCTTAAAATTATTCACTCTCTCTTGCTAATGCAGATCTCATCAGGAAACATTCAGTAAATGCATATGGAATTGAAGACATTTTTCTACGTATCTCTCTTTTCCCCTGAAAAATAAATGTGTCATGCTCATCTGTCTCTCTCTAAACATTTCTTTAGTGTTTTTCCTTTGAAAAATGAAAGTGCAGCTTAGATGATACTACATTGAGCCATCTACTAACTCAAGCGACAGTAGGAAACAGGTTTCGATAGGATATTTCAAAGGTGGCATTTGAATAGACAACTGCTTTCTATTTCTGGGCAAAGATTGACTTTGGGTACCTAGGTTTACAAGGGTCTCAAGTCGCTCATATGAAAAAACATTTTCACGTCTGTTTTTCAAAAATGTAAAGTCTACTATATAGTTGCGTAATACTATTTTACAGTTACCAAAGAACTTTCTCATCAGTTATCTTATTTGATGTTTCACAACAATCTTACGAGATAGAGCAAGTAGCAGTGCAGATAAGTATATATTTCTGCCAGTGGAAGTAAGAATTATCTGTAAGCCCAATAACTGCAGTACATTATAGAATTGTTCACTTTAAAAATAAAATGTGTGATTGTGAGCAATGAAAACTGATGAAACAGAATAGGCATATCTGAAGGAAAAAAAACCATTCTGGTTAATGTCACATAGCTAGTAACTTACAGATCTAATCAACCCAGGGTTTTTAAAAAACTATTTCATTGAGCTATAATTTATACACAATAAAGTATAATACATTTTAAGCATACATTGTATACAGTTGTATACCCACCACCCCTATGAAGTTTTAGAACACTTCCATTACCCAAAAAGTTCCCTCATGCTCTGTTGCAGCCTAACCCCTCCTCACCCAGGGCAGTCACTGATACTTTCTGTCATAATCTTGTGTCTGGCTTGTTTGTTGCTTTTATTAGTTCCCTCTTTTTTTTTTTTTTTTTGAGACAGGGTCTCTGTCAACAGGCTGGAGTGTGGTGGCGCGACCTCGCCTAAAGCACCGTCAATCTCCTAGGCTCAAGGGATCCTCTCACCTTGGCCTCCCAGAGTTCTGGCCTTACAGGGGTGAGCTACCACACCCAGCTAGTTAATTCAATTTTATCACTGAATGGTATTCCATTGTATGGCTATACCATGATTTGTTTATTCACTCACTAGTTGGAGGACATTTGGTTTGTTTTTTTTTCCCAGATTTGGGCTATTATAAATAATGCTGCTGTTAATGTTTGTGTATAAGTCTTTATGTGGACATATATTTTCATTTCTCTTGGGTAGATACCTAGGAGTAGAGTTGCAGAGTCATATGCTAAGTGTTGTGTTTAACATAAAAAATTGTCAAACTTTTCCAAAATAGTTTTACCATTTTGTGTTCTCAGTAGCAATGCATGAAGATTACCGTTTCTTCACAATATCTTCAATATTGATACCGTTTTTTAATTAAAAATTTTTATTGTAAAAACCATGTAGAATTTACTTTTTTTTTTTTTTTTTTTTTTGAGATAGGGTCTCACTTGTTGCTCAGGCTAGAGTGCCATGATACAATTAAGGCTCATTGCAGCCTTGACCTCCTGGGCTCAAGTGATCCTCCCACCTCAGCCTCCTGAGTAGCCTCCTAAATATCCTCCCACCTTGGCCTCCCAAAGTGCTGTAATTACAGGCGTGGGCCACCATGCCTGGCTGAAATTTACCGTCTTAATAGTTTTTTTATTCTTTTGATTATAGCCGTTCTAGTGGTATCTTGTGGTTTTAGTTTGCATTTCCAAAGTTCATATTCAGCATCTTTTTATGTAACCCAGGTTTTTGAGTAGACTAACATTTAGTTTTCATTCTAGTATACCATGCTTTCCTTGTTGGAATCCTTTTTTGGGTGTTTTGTTTTGTTGTAGTCAGCCTAACGCCTAAGTTGTTAAATCAGGCTTGGGTGTAGTTAGCCATTGGCAACTAACCGTAGCTCAGTTCCTAAGAGGCGGTTCCTAGAGTAACCGGTATACAAAACCCAGTAATTGTAAGCCACAGTAGGACTCTAGAATAGGAGAGACTTCTGATAAAGAAGCTTTAGGAACCTTTCTGTATTGTCTTCTATGGTTATCCCATTAGAAGAGATGGCCAGGGAATACCCACTTCCCTTGTCTTCACTCTAAGGTCTCTTACCATATAGAGTTCTATGTGCTTATCTAAGATTCTTGAACTGGAGATGAATTTGAAAAATATGGGGAGGGTATTTTTTCAGTCATTTAGAGAATTGAGACAGTAATGTGTTTTCTCCATTTAAAGAATTTGGGGGAAAAGGCACTTTCTAGGAGAAGATACTGCTTTATGTTTTCTCTATTTTCTTCCAGTAGAAGTAAGAAATATAAACCCAATAACTATAATACATATAGAAATTATTGTTTTGGGCTGGGTGTTGTGGCTTATACTTGTAATTCCAGCACTTTGGGAGGCCATGGCGGGAGGAGTGCTTGAGCCCAGGAGTTCAAGACCAGCCAGGGCAACATGGCAAAACCCCTGTCCCTACAAAAATTACCAAAAATTAGCCAGGTGTGGCAGCGTGTGCCTGTAGTCCTAGCTACATAGGATGCTAAGGTGGGAGGTTGCCTAGCCTGGGAGGTTAAGGCTGCAGTGATGAGCCATGATTGCGCCACTGCACCCTAGTCTGGGTGACAGAGTGAAATCCTGTCTCAAAAAAAAGATTGTTTTAAATAACTTCCTGAAAACTACTTTGGCAAGGAACGTTGGTTTTGAAGTGAAATGTTTGTAGGACATAATTAATGTTTGGTTAAATAATACCTGGATTTTTGTTACACAGGTTGAGTGTCCTTTACCTGAAATGCCTGGGACTAGAAGTGTTTTGGATTGTGGAATTTTTCAGATTTTTGAATACTTGTGTATACATAATGTGTTTTTTCAGAGGTGGGACCTAAGTCTAAATATATACCTCGTAAACATAGCACATAATTTATACGATACTTTTTAATGATTTTGTGCACGAAGTGTCGACTGCATTTTGACTCCTCACATGAAGTCAGGTGTGAAGTTTTCCACTGTGGTGTCTTGTCAGTGATCAAAATGATTTTGGATTAGAAATGCTCATCCTGTATTCCAAATATATGAACATTTATTCTGATTCTTTATATCAGGGATTCTTAATGTACTCAGCCTTTTAATTGGTCTTTCTGTGATCCCACCTTTTTCCAAACTACCCTCAATATGTCATACATTTTAAAAAGTGCCATTGTGACTGGGCGCGGTGGCTCACGCCTATAATCCCAGCACTTTGGGAGGCCGAGGCGGGTGGATCACCTGAGGTCAGGAGTTTGAGACCAGCCTGGCCAATGTGGTGAAACCCTGTCTCTACTAAAAATACAAAAATCAGCTGAGCGTGGTGGCGGGGCGCCTGTAATCCCAGCTACTCAGGAGGCTGAGGCAGGAGAATTGCTTGAACCTGGAAGGCGGAGGTTGCAGTGAGCTGAGATCGCACCATTGCACTCCAGCCTGGGTAACAGGAATGAAACTGCATCTCAAAAAGAAAAAAAAAACCTGCCAATTGTGGTCATGAACAGCAGACAAAATGAGACAAAAGGATGTATAGCATTTAATATCTTCATAAGGTTTATTTTAAGGATTCAGAGATAAGTCATGTAAAGAACTTAATGTGGTGCTTAGCACATGGCTTTCAGGAACCAGAAGTAGTTGTTACTGTTAATGATATCAGTCTTGTGTAAAAACCACTTAGTTTGGGCCCAGACTTATTAAAGAATGTCTTTTGCCTATTCTGCATAGTGTGGCTTTTGCCAATTCGCTAGCCTTTTTTTTTTCCTGTCCAAATGACATTTTTTAAAAAGCCACTATAGTATTATTGTTAATAGAATTAACAGAAATTCCTTAATACAAGCCATTCTTAGTCCATATTCCAATTTTCTGTTATCTCAATATGTCTTTTTATGGTAAGTTTGTTTGAATCAGTCTTAAGAGTCTATATATTATTGCATTTGCAGTTAGGCAGCTTAAGTAAGTTTTATTCTATAACAGCCCTCCCCCACTTAAATGTGAAATTTCCCACATTCTGTGTTTGGCTTTTGCAGTCGTATGGTTTCCCAGCAATACGTGGTTTAGAAAGCCCCCTCCAGGCAATTCTGATGCTCAGGTTTGCTGTAAGTTTGCTATAACTTATTCCTCTATTTCTTGTCTTTCCTGAAAGCTTGAAGTTAGATTTAGATATTTTATCATATTTAGGTTCCCTTTTTTTTTTTTCAATAAAATTATTTTGTAGATGTTGTGTACTTCCTCCTCATCAAAGTTACATACCTGGTTGCCTCACTTGTAGTGGTTTCAGGTGGTATCAGCCTTATTCTTCTATTACATAATACCCCCTTTAACTAATGATTTTAACATTCTTTGTTGATGATTGCCTGAATTCATTATTTTGTTATTTTGCAAAATGTATATTTTGCAAAATGGTGATACCCTGATTCTCTAATTTTTTGTGCATTTATTTGCTGGAATAACTTTTATCAACTATTTAGTTACTCCTTGCTACAGAAAAGGGAGCATAAAAGTTAGATGATTTCCTTGTCATTTTCCAAAGTAATTGGTAATGAGTTGTTCACTGAAGGTTTTTTGTTGTAATTATCATCTTAAAAGATTTTCATGAGCTATTGGATTTTAGTGTGTTTTAATCCACTCCTGTCAAATTGTCTCATATTTGGCCAATGGAAGCCTTTTTAGGTTGACTTCTGTTTCTTTTTGACATGACCTCATTAATCTTTGTTAACTTCTTGCTTTCTTCTGGCCTGTGTCTTAATCTACACTCCTCCTTCTAAGAGTTTATCACCTTGGATTTATTTTGATTCTGGGATATGCCAAGCTGTACTGCTCCCTATTCTTGACATAGTCCCTTATACCTTTTTGTTTGGCTTTTTTGTATTGAACATCTGGGCTTATTCTAATTACTCCTTGCTCCAGGAAGCCTTTTCTGATTTCTTCCAGACTAGAGTAGGTCTGACTGTAACTTTGTTTCATAGCTTATTGCATGTCCTTCTGTGACATCTGTCACAGTTGTCATTGTCCACGTCTCTCTTTGCTTATTTGAGCCCTCTCTTCAGTGTTAAGCATCAAGATTTATTTTGTAGTCAGAACTCTGTAAATTTGCCTAATGGATTGTGTGTGGGGAATAGATGCCTAGGTTTTTGACTGGAGCAACTAAGTAGATGCCTTTTTTCTTTGAGACAGGTTCTTGCTCTGTCGCCCAGGCTGGAGGGAAGGTGCGATCTTGGCTCACTGCAACCTTCACCTCCTGGGCTTAAGTGATCTCCCCACCTTAACCTCCCGAGTAGCTGCTGGGACTACAAGGTGTGGGCCATCATGCATGGCTAATTTTGTATTTTTTGTAGACATGGGGTTTTGCCATATTGCTCAGGCTGGTATAGAGGCTGCTCTTAAACACGCTATCAAAAATAGCCACCTTCTCTCCATTTTCTGTTGGAACACACACTTTATATCCATTATAACTCTTTTAATATTTTATTATAATCTGTCTCCCCCAAGTTCACATTGTTGTGCCAGTGGACAACACAGTGCCTGAGCGTATGCTGAGGAAATATTTGTAGAATGAATGAATGAAGTAACAATTTTAAGGGCAGAGGGAGAGGGTCAAAAGTTCTGTTTTGGATATTTGGTCTAGTTTTAATTGCAATTGAGATATGACACGTAGAGATGACAGTTAAATAAAGTCAATCTGGAGTTCACAGTAGAGATTGGGATTGGAGATACGAGTTTGTGTGTATGGTTAGTATTAAAACTACA